ACTGACCGTGCCACAAATGAGCTCATTCTTCGTGATGTTCCCGATGAAGCTATTCTGGTGAGAGTTAACAACAAGGTTAGGCTTACAGCTGGACTCTTCAGAACTGAATTTGCTTTATAAAGACAAGTAAGCTCTACCATGAATTGGATTCTATTTCTTTGCATCGTACTTCGACCAAATGCTACTAATGGCATGTTTGGATTTCTATAACAATATCATTTATTGTATCTTCTTGTTTGCTTGGTAAGTAGGATAATCAACTATAATCACTCAAATGAGAGTAACTTGGCAAACAAATGAACAAAAACAAAACTCAGTTCTATCACTTAATCTACAATTTTGTGGAAAAATAGAAGAAGATGGCGATGATGAGGTTGGTTGGTGGATCGTATCATCTCTGGTTCCATTCTATTAGTATAATATAGGGAGGGACCCAGCTATCAGCATCATGAGTTGTCGTTGCTTCTGTCCGTATATAACGTGCTACGACAAATCTGACAATTCCATGAAGAATATATTGTGTCCATTCTTCTTCACCGTGATTACCATAATAACTCTCTCATTATCACTATCATTCAAAGCCACCTTTAATTAACTATTTAGTCAACCAACCCCATTCAATTAGTAGTACAAATCTTTTAAAATATAGTCATTGGTTTTGTTTGGTCGCACATACTTGAAGTTGGTCTCTACTAAAACAATAATAAATTAAGGCAAAATATTCTTTTTATTCCTTAACTTTATCTCTGAGTCCATTTTGTTCTCTTATCTTTAAAAAGTTTTGAAGTGGTCTTTTAATTGTTCAAAAAAGACCACGTTTATCTTTTCTGTCTGGACCGCTAGTCAAAGTCAATGGTAGAGCTTATGTGGCATATATGTGGCATTGCACGTGTTTACATTTTTGTCCAGGTGGATTAAAGTATTTTTAAAAAAAGGTTAAAGCATTGCATGGGTTAAAGGATCAGATTACATCTCCAACACTTTGAAGGTAATCCTATGGCAGCCATTGTTGGTAGCTCCATTCTGCGAAAAAGCTGCGAGCGAAGCGAAGGCACATTCCGTTCTTGAAGGTGAAATCGACCACAACACTGCTCATCGTAGGTAAGTTTCTGCAAAACCATGATTTTCGTAGTTAGGGTTTTTTGAAATCAATCTTTCTGAAACCTAATATTTTCCTGTCCATTTAGGATATAGTCTGGAATGGATGAATATTTGAACATTACAATACACCATAGTGGCGAATTTGTTACTGAGGACATGAGTGTTTACAAAGGAGGTGAGATTGCTTATTTGAGAGTAGATGTTGATAAGTTGAGCTATTTTGAATTGATAGGTGCTATTAAAGAGCTAGGCTACGCAAATGTAGAGAATATATATTATAGGGATCCTACTGATGGGATGAATATGTTGGTTGATGACAATTGGGCATTAGGGGTTGCTGATCTATATAGGGTTTATCTTAGTGTTGAAGTCTTTATTCAACACACGTTGTCAAAGCATGATTATGCTGATGAGACTGAAGTTGTGTTAGATGAGGTACCCCTTAATGTGATAGTTGATGAGGCAGAAGTTGTGCTTGAGGAGATGTTGAATGAAACTAATGGAAGGGAATATGGTGTTAGCATGGATGGTGTTGGGGAAGATGATATTAGGGAAGATGGTGTTCATGCAGTAGGAACTGGTGATAATGTGTCAATGGTTGATGAGGTTAAAAGTGATGATATTGGACATAGGGTTGGTGAGGTTGATGGTGCTGTTAGACTGACTGGTGATAGTGATAGTTCTGATGATAGCACCTTCAACTATGATAGTGCAACAAAGGTAGTATTTGATGATGACTCTGATGAGTATGACACTAATTTGGAAGAGGAAGAAGGTAACCTAATTAACTATGAACACATGGAAAGCAAAAAAGGTAAAGAAAAGTGTGAAGCAAACAAAGAAGATAGCAAAGGAAGTGATAATGAAAGTGATGATCTAGGAAGTGACTATGATAGTGATGATAGCAGTAGAGTTAGGAGAAAGAAGTATCCAGTTTTCAAGCTTCAAAAGGATATGTCCAATTACAAATGGAAAGTGGGAACCTACTTTAGTACAACAGAAACTTTCAAGGAATCCATTACCTCTTATGCAGTCCAATCTGGAAGAAATTTAAAGTTCATTAAAAATGACAAGACCAGGATTAGGGTTACGTGTAAGGAAGGATGTGAATGAGAATCCTATTATGCTAAATTGTCTACTGAGGATTCTTGGCAACTAAGAAAGATAGTAGACACTCATAGTTGCAGTAGAGAATATAATGTGAAGTTAATGAAGACTAAATGGTTGAGCAAGAGGTTGTAGAATTCACTTAAAACCAACCCTAGAATGAAAATCAAGGACATTAAGGAGAAGGTACAAAAGAAGTAGAATGTGGGGATCAACAAAACCAAGGCCATAAGGGCTAGGTTTGCGGCCAGAGACATGATCGATGGGTCGTTCCTAGGGGATTATGCAAGGATATATGACTATGCACACGAGTTATTAAGAGCTAACCCTGGGTCAACTGTAAAAGTGAATGTCAAACCTGCACAAGAAGGTGGTGTTCAGAAATTACATTTCAAAAGGATATACATATGCTTGGCAGCTTGTAAGGAAAACTTTAAGTTAAGCAGACTCAGTCAAGCATCTCAGCCAACTCAAGCATCTCAGCCAGCTCAAGCCTCTCATCCAACTCAAGCATCCCAGCCAACTCAAGCATCTCATCCAGCTCGAGCATCTCAGCCAGCTCAAGCATCTCAACCATCTCAAGCATCCCAACCAGCTCAAACATCTCAGCCAACTTCTTCTCAATCATCCAAGAAAGTGAATCCCAAATCCAAAAGGTTGCAAGTTAGAAGGCCAAATGCACCTTTTGTCCCACCTGGTCCAACAACTAGGTTGAACGCATCTAAAATTGTTGTAGGTCCAACAACAAGAAGGGCGACACATACTAAGAGAGCTGCAACAAAAATGGAAAGCTTAAATTAATGTCTTTAATGTAATCGTTCTGTTAGGTTATGTTAACTTTAGTTAAACTATTTTAAGTGTTTTGAACTTGTACTATCTAGTGTTGTTTTGGACTTGTCATATCAGATTTCTTGGACATGTAAAGTATGGTTTTTGGATCTGTAATAGTAGTGTTTTTGGACCTGTAATATCAGGTTTTTAAACATGAAATTTATGAATATTAGTGGTATCCACCACCTTATGTATTGTTCTTGACTTCATTCAATTGATTTTGTATATGTTATGGTATGATTTCATTCAAAATGTTACACCAGTTACTGGAATTTACAAAGTTCATCAAAAATACAGTTCCAAAATTACACCAGTTTCATACTGGAATTTACACCAGTTTCATACAGTTGCATACTGGAATTTACACCAGTTCAAAAATTCATTACAAAATGTTACAAATAAAATATACAAATTCATCAATTAATAACATCATCTTCTTTTCAAATGATATTACAAACGATACTGGAATTTACAACATCACCCAAATGACAAAAATTAACAACATACATAACATTTTTTTCCATTTTTTTCGGAATTCATCATTTTCTTCATTTCAATTTGTAACCCCCTTATCTTTTGTTTCAGTCCATCCTTTTGTTCCTTTAAAGACAGTATCTCTATTTTTGCTACATCAAGGTCATTTTGAAGCTTCTCTAATCTACTATTTTGCTTCTTTATAAACTGCTCTTTCTCATCCACAACATCATCATAGAACCATTGAAAGTATCCACATTCAATTTCAGATGAACCATGTGTCATTCTAAATTTGGATAGATCTGAAAAAATAATATGGATAAGCCATTTCATTTCTTTCTTACCTTATAATGACGACATCTCCAAAATTGCTTCCCAAAATTCGTGAGTTGAAGCCCTTCGAAGAATATTCGTGTCTCCATAGCCACATATGGGTTTCCATCACAAATTACCATCTAAACGTCCACCGTTGTTGACCTTCGAATCGTATGAACACTGACCTAAGTACGCTAATGATGATTGCTTCATTTTCCTCAAGCAATTACAGAATTATAAGGGGAAGAAAATTGTTGAACCCTAGAATTTAGGGGAGTCTGGGATAGAAGAGAAACAAATGAGTGATACAGACTTGAAGAGAATGAAGAAGATGATATAACATTCCACATCAGTTGTCACGCATACAAAACAAACGTTTGTTTGTGACTTTTGGACGGAAAGGACTATTGTGATCCTTTTTGAACAATTAAAAGACCACTTTAAAACTTTTTAAAGATAAGAGACTAGAATGGACCCAAAGATAAAGTTAAGGGGCTAAAAATAATATTTTACCATAAATTAATAGAAGTAAAAAATGCAATATTAAATTAATCTAATAATAATGATATTGTGTTTCACACTAATGATTGATTAAGGCTTAAATTTAATTGATACTGGTAATTAGTAGTTTTTATGGGGTCCATGTAAGGTATGGTGACCTACACTAAACCTAAAGTATCCTTTTGAGTGGAACTATCTACCTGCAAGATGCTGCAAATATTAGGCAATCTTACAAAAAGTTGAAAAAGTATTATGGAAATATTGCGTAATGGGTATGACGAAAGATGCTTTATTAATCTCCAGAACTTACCATTCTATCCATTTTTTTCATTAGTTTTTTTCACTCTCACGGGGGTATATTTGTCAACCTAATAGCCTCTAACCAAACGCGGTATTGACCTATGTTGTTGCTAGTCAATAATATAGCTTTGGTTCATTCAACTCGAAAAGCACTCTCATAGTTGATTTGTTGAAATGGCATTTTCAATTTAATTCGGTAATTTAATGATTATAATTTTTTTAAGGTGAATAAATGAAGAGCTTAAAGGTAATCAATGTATTATAATCTTTAAAAAGAAATCTTTTGATAAGTAATTTTAAAAAAAAAGTCAAACTTCTATAAAAATTAATTATTATAATTTTATTTTATTAAATTTATAAATAAAAGATTGTAAATTTGAATTTGAAACTCTGTTATATATTATATTGGAAAAAACTAAGTCATATAACATCTCTTATTTAAAAAATCAATTTTGTAAAAATGAATTATATTAAACTCTAATTTTAATATAATATCACGAGACTATCGATTCGAGTCATCCATTATTATATATGTGCATTAAATCTAAAAAAATATTGGACGAAAAAATGTATTAAAAAAATCAAATTTTATATATCAATAAATATTTATACACATCAATTTCTTATCAACTGAGTTGATTTAACTAAAATAATTTTTTTAGTTATCAATTGAGTTGATTTAACTAAAATAATTTTTTTTTTCTTTTTTAGTTTAGTCGTTAGTAATTATACATAATATAAATATATAGAAGAATGTTATTTTTTTTCTGTACACGCCAAATATAAATATATGAATATATAGTGATAGTGTGTTAAGGCATTAATTGAGGAGCATGGAAGGAGAAAGAAGGAAGAGAAAAACATTGGAAGAAGAAGAAGAAAATGAAGAAGAAAAAATGGAGAAGTTTTTTGCTTTGATAAAGAGCAGAAGAGATCTAGTATCTAAAGCAGATAAGAAAGTTGAAGAAAAACAGGAAAAGGGTATTTGGAATCCAATGTTTCAACTAGAAGATTTCATTGGTTGTGAGGAATTAGGAAAGAGTAATAATAATGTTTGTGTTTCAGTTACTCATCATGATGCTGAAGCTGGTCCTTCTACAGAGAAAGTAAAAGAGGGTTTGATGATAGTAGAGAAAGAATGTGTACAAGAAGCAGCTGCAACAACTTTTGCAGCAGCAGATTCATTGGTGGATCAAAATGAAGAGAAAGAGAAAACAAGTGATAATCGCTTAGACTTTGACTTGAATCTTTCTTTGTAATAGCACCATACCATATGATGGATTGGTTTGTACTCCTGTAACATCACCATTTTAGATCCAATGTATGTTTGATATCAGATGGATTAACCGTTGCATATCTAATATTCAATTACCTTAAGAGAAATATTATTTTTACACTTAATCTAACATCTACACCGTATAATAATACGGTTTTGTTTTTTTAAATTGTTTAATCATTCTTTTTTATTTGTTGTGACAAACAATCACATGAGGCCATGCTGTATTTGATACGGTGTAAATATGGTGTTAAATATGGTGTTAGAATTTTGGTGTAAATATGGCAACTCTCTTACCTTAAATGTCCATTTGTTGGAAAACCTACCTAAAAGAAAATAAGAATAGGTTTGGTGTGTTCGGATTGACGGTGAATTTAATTAATTATAATATAATTGAATGTGATATCGATTTTAATAGAATTGAATTTAATATAATTGATTTATATTTGAATATATTTATGTAAAAATGAGTTAAATAATAAATTTTAATATAAAAATTATTTAAAATCAATTTTTAAAGTAGAAATTATAAATTATTATTTTAAATAAAATTAATTTTAAAAACAAAATCAATTCTATTTTTGATAAAACAAACACTTCAAAATTACTCTGAATCAATTTTACACTTTTAAAATTAATTTTGAATTTTTCTAAAAGTCAATTTAAACATAGTATATAACACAATAATATATAATACGATTTTCAAAATATAAGAAAAAATTACAATTCTAGAAAATAATACTAAAAACTAGATTAAGACACACAATGTGTGGTCGTAAATTAGTATTAAGTTTTCTTTTTAATAAAAAATAGTTAATAAAATTTTATTACAATAATTAATTATGAATTACAATTGAGATATTAATATAAATTAATCACATTTATATATATTTTATTGAAAAAACATATATTACGTGTTTTAAAATTTAAAATTAATTATGAATTACAATTGAGATTGACATTTAAAATTTAATTTTACTAATTTAATTAACTAGTTTTTTTTAAAATTATTATCACGTGTTTTACTCTTATCTTTGATTTAGATATTTCATTTTAAATAGTTAATCTTTGATTTAGATATTTCATTTTAAATAGTTAAAGATATGTATTTATTTTTAGTCTTAAATAAAATATAAAGTTTACTTGCAACTGTTATTTATTAAAACTTTGAAAAACTTTATAAATTATGTTTATTTTGTCAAATTTTTGTTATACAATGAATAAATGGTTGCAAATATTAGTTATTATATTAGCTTAATTTGTTTTTGAATTAGTTATTTTAATTTTTAATAATGGAATTGCAAAAAAAAATATTATATGATTTAATCAATGATATTTGTTAAAATATGAGTGTTCTTCTTTTAGATATTATTATCTCTGATTTAATTATACTCCATATAATTGTTATTATAGAAGAAGAGTAAATTATAATTCACTTTAAAAAACTATATATCATATGTGATGAATTATTAATCTGCTTGTTTCTCTATAGTTTATTTGTTTGGTATGATATGTGTTATGGATTGACCCGATAGTCTGTGTGAGCTCAGTCTAGATCAGTTCTTCTTTGGTAAAGCGCACGCGACACTGTCTGAATCTCCTGCGCTTTCTATCGAGCACCGTCAATCATTTGCCCTCTTAGATCGGCACTGGCCTTGATGTTCGACGAGCGCCTCTCAGTCCGCTCAATCAGAAACTCGACCAGACAACCAGAAACCGACTGGACTACTGCTCGTAACCTATCTCCTCCTCGAGATCAATGGCTAGTTACAGGCATATCTGCTCGGTATGACCAAATCCTGGCAGTTACCTATTTTCACCGGTTCACATATCTAGGCCCAAAAATAGTAACCAATGATCACGTGCTAGAGGCATTATATAAACCCTCACACATGTGAGGCCCACATCGAATATTCATTATTCACCACTAAAACCCTAATACTTTTGCTTGTATCTCTTTGCTCCCACACTTACTTAATCGTCAGAGTGCCTTGTAGGTACAATCCCCCTTTTTTTCTCCTCGACTTTCCAGTCCGACAGAAGATCATCATCTGACCACCTTGCAGGTTCTGATCGACCGGTAAGATTAATGGCGTCGTCTGTAGGAAACTATCTTCCCTTGTTTTATATTCCTCAAAGTCTGAAAACCAAACATTCTTTTCACTCAACTACCATGGCTGGCCGTGACGATCTTTACCCATCTGGAAAGGTTGTTGTTTTTAGAACAAGATTAGTTCTGATCTATCTCAGAGTTTTGATGATAACAATAAATTATATTTTAGATAATTTATACTCTGATGAACGTATTTGACTATTTCAGATAATGTTCTGACAGAAACATTTTGTAATGCTAAGCTAAAAATTATGAAGAAGTTCTTTAATGAAAGAACCATGTTTTTGTTTTAAGCGCATCTGCTGACTGTGGTAAGATAATTTATTTAAATATATATTCTAACATTTAGCAGGTTTCCTTGCTCAGAAGATTACTTGAAAGCAAGCGCTGATCAAGTTCTTAGCAAGCAAAGCACTGCCTAGAAGATGAGTAAAGCATGTTCTGAATTCAAGACGTTGAAGCAAGTTCTGAAAGAACGTTAAAGCCAACTTATCTTGTCAAGCGAAGGAAACATGTTCTTACAAGTTGTCGTTTGCTCATTACTGCAAAGACGGATGCAAGCACTCAAGTGTCTAAGCTAGTTTCTTGGAAAATATAGTGCAAGGAAACATGCAAGTATTTAATGCTCTCCACTTTTCTGAAGGCAACAACGGTCTTTTTCTTCCTACTATAAATAGAAAGACATTTATTGCAAGCCAACTAACGAATCAAATTTCAAAAAGAAGCAAGAAACTACGTGAAAAATTATGGGCTCACAAACTCTTTGTTCACATACTTTGTGCAATTTATTCTAAGTGAAAAATCACAGTTGTGATATAGCTTGATTAGAAGAAAATTTTATTTCACTATCTGTAAAGAATAAACTCTTGTAACTATTCCTTGAGAGACCAAGTTTGGTCAGATTTCTCAAGCAGACTAGGACTAGATTTAAGTCTTAGTGGTGTTAGTCACTTGTAAGATTACTTGTGCATTGTTAGTCATAACAGTTGTTGTGTGTTTGTAATTAGTTGATTATAGTGGATTAAGTCCTTGTTGAGAAAGACGAAATCACCTTGACGGGTGGACTGGAGTAGTTTGAGTTCAAACGAACCGGGATAAAAATAACCTTGTCCTTCCATTATTGTTGAACTTTGTTTTGAAAAGAAAAAGAGTAACTTATTCAACCCCCCCCCCCCCCCCCCCCTTCTAAGTGTTTTCTTACCCCTTCAATTGGTATCAGAGCTTGATTCTGAGCACAACACTTAACCGTGTCAGGAAAAGATCCAGAAGAAAACACAATGGCTGCTGAACAAAACAACAATAGTTACAACAAACCTCATGTTTTTGATGGAGAAGATTTTGAGTACTGGAAAGACAGACTAGAAAGTTTCTTTCTAGGTCATGATAGTGATCTATGGGATATAGTTTTGGATGGTTACACACATCCTACTGACTCAGAAGGAAACAAAGTTGACAGAAAAAATATGGATAAACTACAAAAAGTTGAATTCAAAAATCATCATAGAGCTAGAAATATTTTTCTAAATGCTATCTCTAAAGTAGAATATGAAAAAAATCACTAATAGAGATACAACGCATGATATGTTTGAGTCTCTTAAAATGACTCATGAAGGAAACGCTCAAGTTAAGGAGTCTAAAGCTCTGACTTTAGTTCAGAAGTATGAAGCCTTCAAAGTTGAAGAAAGTGAGTCTATAGAAGCAATGTTCTCTAGGTTTCAAACTCTGATCGCTGGTCTAAGAGTTTTGAATAAGGGATATACCAAAGCAGATCATGTAAAAAAGATCATCAAAAGCTTACCCAGAAGATGGGCACCAATTGTCACTGCTTTCAAAGTTTCAAAAGATCTGAACAACGTGTCTCTGGAGGAACTCATCAGCGCTATCAGAAGTCATGAGATTGAACTAGATGAGCACGAGCCTCAGAAGAAAGGTAAGTCTCTTGCCCTTAAATTAATTAAGAAATTTGATACTAACGCTTTTCAGGCTGAAGAGGAAAACTCTGAAGAATCAGCGTCAGAAGAAGACGAATTATCCTTGCTCTCCAGAAGGATCAATCATCTGTGGAAGCACAAACAAAAGAAGTTCAGGAACTTCAAGAAGTCAGAAGATAAACCTGAATCTTCTGGACACAAAAAGTCAAATAGAAGAGAGATCATCTGTTATGAATGCAAAGAACCTGGTCACTACAAAAGTGATTGTCCAAAGCTTCAAAAAGAAAAACCAAAGAAAAGTTTTAGTAAGAAGAAAGGGGTGATGGCAACCTGGGATGACTCAGATTCTTCTAAAGACGAATCTGGTTCTGAAGATGAAAATGCCAACCTAGCTCTGATGGCTACCACAATAGATGACTCAGACTGTGAGTCAGAACCAAGTGAGGTATTTTATGAATTCACTAGAAATGAACTTGCTAATAGTTTATCAGAACTTCTGGAAAACTATAGTAAACTCAAAATCAAATACAAGAAACTCAAGAAGAGTCTTGCATCTGATATTGAGAAACATGAAGCAGAAAAATATGAACTCTTAGAAAATAATTTTAAACTTAAAGAAGAAATTCAAAATGTTCAAAAAATTTCTAGTTCAGAATCTATGTCTAGTTCAAAAGATATTCTGAAAGAATATGACTATAGTTTTCAAACTTTTCTAGCTAAAAACATAGATAGAAGCAAAATGGCTTCAATGATCTATGGAGTTAGTGGGAAAAACAAAAGAGGAATTGGATATGAAGCTCCCAAAGGGAAGGAGACATACATACCAAAACATGTTGCTAAAATGACTTTCACTTACAAACCTATGAATAAACAATTCAAGTTTGGACACTCACATGATATAAAATATACATCACATTCTGGAAACTCTTATGTTAACCC